TCTCCTTTATATAAACAAAACCTTTTCATAGTCAGAACGGTATACAATGTACGTCTGTCATTTTTCGGAATGACATAAAAAAAACTGAGTTAAATGTATAATGCAGTCACGTGCTAAATTAGTACCAGATAACAGATCTTAAGGTATACAGTATAACTTACAATTGAAGCATTCTGGTAACTCCACATATCGATCTATGTCTTCTGGTTCACAAGTGTCCATTTTGTAGTTTTGTTCACATGGTTTTACCTGTGTACCTAAAACAGACGAGATCAGTATTGCGTAATTTGCTATGTAATGTGTTACTGCTTGTCGTGACAGACCAGAATTAACTGGGTCTATACAAATTGTGTAGGGCTATTTCTTGTATAATTTACATTAAGGGTTTTTACCCGAAATCAACAGATTTAAATAACATATATAATCTTATGAACGTATCAAATGAATAATTTAAAAAATAAAGAAAATGAAACGCTTACCTTTGTTGCAGGTTGTATTTCCACATATTGTCACTTCCCCTGTAAAGTAGTTTGTGCGATTAAAAAATGAATCTTCCTTTCCATCTGTCTGTCCTTTTCGACCTAACACTGCCCCGTCCGTGATATAATATCCAAGACAAAACCAAAGACCAAGACACGAAATAGCAGATTTACTCATTGTATCTGAAACAGAACGCAAAATGAGTGCTTGTTTACATTAAAGTTAAATCATATACAGGAAAAGACAACATTATTCTGAAAACGTATATAATCAGAAGTAAAGACTAATTGATCACAAGATTACAAAACAGTGAAAAAGTATAGAAGAATAACTTAAACAGAGGTTTTAACATAATTGTATAAGTCCATCCTACCTGTTCAAACGCCTGGCATAAAATGAAGAGGGTTCTAGAAGTGTTTTATGTATACCATGGGTGTGGCACATCGCCAGAAAACTTATGTACATACGTAGAGATGATACCCGCTTTAACACGTGTTTCACGCATGACTAAACCTATTTTGAATACCAGGTTATATCAACTATCCGAACAAATCTATCTTGTTATTAAAGCTCAGACGTTCTAAATGGTCATTAGAAAATGGACAATGTTTTTATTTTAAATGTACTAATATCATTATAATTGTCTTTTGGTAATACAAAGTATATTGCGCCTTCATTGACTTCAGAAAAGCAATAAACTCGTTGTGGTGTGTCAGTTTAAAATCGATATAACTGATAAATATTCAAGGTTTACATGTGGTTATTACAAATTTGTGAACACTGACAAGGCGATATAATTAGACTATAGAATGACGAATATTTCTCACAATCACATAGATCAAATTCCACAGTGGTCATGCAACGAAGAAGGCTAACGCAGTGTCTAATACCAAACACTTACCTGTGTCAAAACGTGCTTTACCTGTATATTTATCGTCGCGTGAAAACATTTGTATATCGTACAAACATCATCATATGTTAGATAATATTTTGTAGTGTTCCCTTTTTACTAGAATTATCCTAAAGTTTTTTTTATCTAAGTTAGGTGATATTTTATTTTGTAATATTTTATCAATATGATGGTATGTTCTGATTTATTCTAAAAATGTAATGATTGAGGATTGTATATTTCTGCAAATCAAACTGTCAGACATGATAAGCACAATCTGATTTTAAATGGTAGGTCAACCAAGTTTAGGTGTACATATACATAATATTTTTTTCAAACTGCACCGACAACATTTATACTCCAACGCAGTCGCCTTATTGCCATTCTTGTGCTATATTTTTCACTATTGCTGCTATGCCAATGTATACCAAATGTGAGTATGTCAAGGCAACATATAGGCCTAGTTGTTCCAGGGTCTGTCTGTCTTTATCTCTAGCCATCGACCTCTTGGTGATGGGTTCGAGTCCTCGGACAAATAGCCCACCAGTAGTCTATTATGCGGAAAAAGGCCAAAACACCAATTTACTGGAAAGTACACAGAAGCCAGGTACTGGCCGCATGTCAACGGTTATTCTCCAGGAACCCCGGGTTTTCTCCATAACCCAAACCTGGCATGTCCTGAATGACCCTTGTTGTTAATAAGACGTAAACCAGCAACAAACAAACAATTTACGATGTAACTCCAACGATCTTCACAGTTATATTAACCTTCATTTAGTGACGTTTGATATCTGTGACATAAGTTCACTTTCGCTCTCTGCAACTCTCGAACGTTGTCATGGCAAAATTAAAGGCACAAGCAAAGTCATTTTATAGAGTTAAGGGGAAATAAAAATGACTAACCATAGGCTGATACGCTCCTTTGAAGATTACAAAGGAGCGACACTCAACTTCATATCCGTTACAATATACCGTTATGCGACCTCGAGATTCAAAGATCAACCTAGTCTTGTCGCACATGGAATCTTCAATTTTCTCATGACATGTTCCAGGGGTGCAGAGAGTGATAGTGAGCGTAACCCCTATACATGAAGGCTAAATATTCCTCGATTTCCTCAAACTGAGGTTGTGATACAAATGTGTCAAGTATATTATTATTTGCAATAGTCTTTTGAGCCTGTCCTGTCTAATCATTAACCAGATGTTTTGGCCTGGTGTCCAATCACGACGCTGATCCTCATTAAGGTTTAAAATATGACTTTGAAGAGGAAAATCACTGATGAGTCCTAGAAGGACGAAAGGGCTGTATGACACAGCATCACTGATGAGTCCTAGAAGGACGAAAGAGCTGTATGACACAGCATCACTGATGAGTCCTAGAAGGACGAAAGAGCTGTATGACACAGCATCACTGAGGAGTCCTTGAAGGACGAAAGAGCTGTATGACACAGCATCACTGATGAGTCCTAGAAGGACGAAACAGTTGTATGACACAGCATCACTGATGAGTCCTAGAAGGACGAAAGAACTGTATGACACAGCATCACTGATGAGTCCTAGAAGGACGAAAGAGTTGTATGACACAGCATCACTGATGAGTCCTAGAAGGACGAAAGAACTGTATGACACAGCATCACTGATGAGTCCTAGAAGGACGAAACAGTTGTATGACACAGCATCACTGATGAGTCCTAGAAGGACGAAAGAGCTGTATGACACAGCATCACTGATGAGTCCTAGAAGGACGAAAGAGCTGTATGACACAGCATCACTGATGAGTCCTAGAAGGACGAAAGAACTGTGACACAGCATCAGTGATGAGTCCTAGAAGGACGAAAGAGCTGTATGACACAGCATCACTGATGAGTCCTAGAAGGACGAAAGAACTGTGACACAGCATCACTGATGAGTCCTAGAAGGACGAAAGAGCTGTATGACACAGCATCACTGATGAGTCCTAGAAGGACGAACAGTTGTATGATGTAGCATCACTGATGAGTCCTAGAAGGACGAAACATTTGTATGATGTAGCATCACTGATGAGTCCTAGAAGGACGAAACATTTGTATGATGTAGCATCACTGATGAGTCTTAGAAGGACGAAACAGTTGTATGACACAGCATCACTGATGAGTCCTAGAAGGACGAAAGAGCTGTATGACACAGCATCACTGATGAGTCCTAGAAGGACGAAACAGTTGTATGATGCAGTATAATTCATTATTTTGCTCCTTTTGCATCTGACTCGAAGTTTGTGTCAAAATGTGCTTTAGTACAAATATCAATGCAAAATACAATATAGACGGAGTATTACTTCGGAGTCTGTTTAAATCAAATGTCATAGACTCCATTTTGTTACCCATGTGGGTAGAAATTTATGTTTTCGCTGTAACTTCAAACCATTCGATATTATGGGCATAGATCTTGTCCTGACTGGCGAGGTTTAATTGGTGCCAGGAGTGTTATATGACAGGTCATGAATGTAACATGAGTATTTGAGAGGAATGAAATGGTCGTAATATCAGAACCAATATCTCCCAGAGTGCAATACGGACCGAATCTATACTAGTGAGGACGAATGGGGAAAATTGGCCATCTCCGTATAAATATCCTCCTTGTCCCTTATCAGTTAGGCTAACAAAGTAAAAAGAAGGGATATAAGTCTGGAATATCCGAATTGACATTTGTTGCTAAATCAAATGTGTTCAGGACATATAATGTTACATGCTTATGTCTTGTCATATAGGCGCTTATACAGCATACAGAAGGAAAGAAGATAGCAAGGCAATGACATCAAGTGTTTTCTTTTAGGATTTTACTTAAAAAGAAATTTTCTTTCGAGAATACATAGTCCAAATTGTAATATAAATGATGTAGATAAGAAGGTACTCCTATCATTATTTGTGCATAAGTGTCAATCTGTCGTTTGTACATGGAATTTATTGATACAATGACTTATCTATTTAACACTGTTCCCTTCTTCTGAAAAGATTACTCTTAACTGGTCTAATTGTAATTGTTATTTCGACACTGCATTCTGGAACTAGTTTGATGCTTGTAAGTTTACTTGCTGGTACCGTTATATACAATGCCCTTAGTGGAGAACGTGACATTATTTACTTGGATTGACCACGGTTTACATAGTGAGTGTTGTTGATAACGCAGAAGACGCTTACTCTTCCGGAACACCTGAACTTATTCTCCTTCTACTTTTTCAGGAGTCTCCTTGTAAATCTTTCTGTTGTTCATATCATCACCTAGTTTTATGGAATTTGAGTTTATGATTATTTCGACATGTTGATATTTTCTTGTTGCCTGTTATTAACTGATCCCGAGTGCTTACTCGTCATAGTTATTACTTCATTTTCTCAACGTAAAGAGTCACAGAGAAACAAACTTTAAACAACAATGCCGAAGAAAAAACTCTTTCGTTTTCTATTGTTGTTGTTACTATACATTCTGGGTAATGCATTGTTTACTGATATGCTCAATTTTCGGAACGAGTAAGTTTAATGGAGAATATCGATCAAATTAAACATACATCGTCCAAAGCTGAAAAACTAATATTCACGACGAGACGAATATGCAAATTCTTTTAAAAGCAAGTCTTAACAACTTATGTATGTCAGTGTTAACAATCCTCTTGTTCCGGGTTCATGTCGGCGGGAGCAATGGTTGCAGTAGACTCTGATTTGTGCACGTGAATTAGTTTATTAAGCTTCCATTCCAATTTTGGACTGCATTGTCCATCGTACTTAGAGGGAGTGCCACCAAAAACGTTCTGTCTGATCACTCGAATCTGCGCAGTTAAGTTCGGCAAGTCGAGGATTACAATAAACACTACCACTCCACATAGCAGAGTGACACCAACAATACCGATACCTTGGGCGGAAGTACGACCGTCGTACGCACTTCGTTTCTTCCGGCGTGTCGACGACAAGGTTGATTTGTTTACAGACAACTCGCGCAGCTTCTTAAGTTTAGCATTAAGGTCTACTTGAGTCGCCGGGGTGGTCACTTTTGTCACTTTTGGTGGACATGTGCACAAGCATAGAGGTGGCTGTGGAAAAAGGATAATTAGATAACATTTTATAATTAATAAATTATTTGTACTTAAACTTGATTTCGTCATAAATCAAGATTACTTTAACACTCAGAGAAACGACGTTATTAAATTTGTTAACAGTTCGATATACATGTAGTCCAACACAACCAAGAATAACAAATTAAGAGCAGAATGGTATATCCGACTGTAAAAAATGGTGATAGTAGATTAAAGAAGAGATCAAGATCGATCGTTAGGGAGTCGATCGATCGTTAGGGAGTCGATCGATCGTTAGGGGTCGTTAGGGAGTAGATCGATCGTTAGGGAGTAGATCGATCGTTAGGGGTCGTTAGGGAGTAGATCGATCGTTAGGGAGTAGATCGATCGTTAGGGGTCGTTAGGGAGTAGATCGATCGTTAGGGAGTAGATCGATCGTTAGGGAGTAGATCGATCGTTAGGGGTCGTTAGGGAGTAGATCGATCGTTAGGGAGTAGATCGATCGTTAGGGAGTAGATCGATCGTTAGGGGTCGTTAGGGAGTCGATCGATCGTTAGGGAGTCGATCGATTGTTAGGGAGTAGATCGATCGTTAGGGAGTAGATCGATCGTTAGGGAGTAGATCGATCGTTAGGGAGTAGATCGATCCTTAGGGGTCGTTAGGGAGTAGATCGATCGTTAGGGAGTAGATCGATCGTTATGGAGTAGATCGATCGTTAGGGAGTAGATCGATCGTTAGGGGTCGTTAGGGAGTAGATCGATCGTTAGGGAGTAGATCGATCGTTAGGGAGTCGATCGATCGTTAGGGAGTAGATCGATTGTTAGGGAGTAGATCAAAAGACAAAGGCAATAAGTCATTTTGTATATAATGATTGAAGATTTATATAACAGTAGATGAAGCTTTGAAAATCTTAATTCAGGAGTCCCATTGTAATGATGCTATTTTCTAAAACTGGATCTGATATCATAACTTATCGGCTTTAAGTAAAAGTTACTTGCATATAGTATACTTATTTGATAAGTGTTTTTCCTTTGAAATGGAAACCTTTCGTAGAATTTTTAAGTCTTATGAAAGGATGCTATTCACTAGTGTGTCTTTTGCACAAACTTCGATTTTGCAGGTGGTAGACACTGCTGGTGATCTTTTAATCCCCGTTGTTTGCCGTGACTTTCGTATTGAATTCTTCGAATATTGGCAGATTCATAATATACACACGTACTTTACGTTTTTCTTAAATTACCATATATCTGAAAAATACGAACTTAATTGAATTAACGGGTAACTGCACCTCCCCATCCAGAATTTCACTTTTCTTTCGGTCAATTTGAATTTTTCTCAGTCGCCTCCTAGACTGTAAAACTAAGGCACTTCTCATCACTGACTCGAGTCCTAGAAAGACGAAACAGCTGTTTAATTCATCATTTGGCTCTATTGTTTCTTATTCTAAAGATGTATTAAAGGGTGATATTCATATGTATGTCTTATGTACAATCTACACGGAAAATAGAAAAGAAAGCATTACCTGAGTAGAATTTCTATGGTCCTTGCACATATGATTTACCATGACGAGTGGAACCAACGTCAGTCGATGTATGGTATTGCGCATGCTCCAACTCTGGATCGCCATGATTGGTTTGTCACTTGATGTCATTAATACATCCTGTGGTGACAACATCAGGTCCACGTGCATGCCGAGGTCAAGTAAAACGGTTTTATTCATAGTACCATACACATGCACGTGGGTATTGCTACATCGTGACGTCAGACTTACAAAACCGGGATACTGAGTGGGCCAGGTTTGATATGAAGTGCCGTACATCTCTGTGGGGGGCAGTTGATTCAAGAAAATTCTTCCGGCGGAAACGATGCCTCCACAGGACACCGCGAACGGCTTGTTAGCTGTCACTTTCATTCCCGTCATATCTAGCATACATTTGAGTTGCAAAAGAGCATTTTCTGGCAAAATCGGAACTTGACACGTGTCATGGTAACATAAACTTGTTTTGTTTGGAAAAGTTATATGTCCTGGTCGAGCTGTAGAGAAGTAAAACTCTGTAAAAGGGTTTATTGTTAAAAGATCACAAGTGTAGTTACCTTGCAATAATGGCGTGGCCATGATATATTCTTGTCCGATTCTATCAAGAGGAAGAACAGAATAGTAAATTTCTCCGTCCATGATATCTAGGACTGTCATACTGATATTCTGAAGGCTTTTGATCCGCACAACACAATCGCCACTGCTAAAGGTCTTCTCACATGTCGTCCGAAGGTGATGTTCAATTATCGCGGAGGTGTCTTCTGATTTACTAACCTCTGACCCGGATGATCTATAAATTGTTACAGTGACCTTGCCTTTGAAATTGTTCAATATCCGTAGCCGTGTCGTATCATTTCTGTGAGAGATTTGGTTGAATGACAGGATAAAGTCTTTTCCATACATGCTGATGTCAACTGAAGATAAGGGTATTTCAATACTTTACAATTTGTCTAAAGAAATTCCGTAATATCACTGCACATTAAGTCTTGATAACAATTTAACAAAATGTCGACCGCCTTTGCAAAAACAGAGCTAATTGCCTTGGTTGTTTTATGAAATCTTACTGGCTCGACAAAGAGAAAGCTCGAGAGATATCAGTAAAATTTGATTAGAATTTATGCACAAACGAAAACAGATTTTTAATGTTTAGTAATATATAACATCAAGTAATGTTTGTATTGGTAACTGAGAGACCAAATGATATACATATACATCAAGGTATTTACTACAATAATACTCCCTCGCCATTAAATTGTTTAATTTAGATATAAAAATTGAAAGACTAATAATTCAAAGAAGAAAATACTTACACTGTAGACCGTGTGCGTTGCACAATGCTACCATGAGAATGGCGAAAAACATACTGCTACACGCGTTGTATTGTAAGATTTCGCGATGTAAGGGTCTTCTAGTTTTCTGAAATACACAACAAAAGTGCACCTCTCCACGCTGTCCTGTAAAATACATAATAAAATCGACAATATAGAATATCGATAATGTAAAACAGACAGGTTTGTTTATCAAGAGTTTCGACTCTACGAATGTAAGCATTTATGAGGTAACTTTTCGTTCGAAGTGCCGTCGAATTGACGATAACCAGGCGTCATTGGTTACTTTGAAAAATTGGCTGAGCTCGTTTGGATAACCTGGTAACATTGAAGCACAGCATCTGTCGACTTTGCCTTATCGCTGGTGAAACAAATAAGTCACCACTTTGTCATACATCTCTATCTTCTCGTTGTTATTGTTAATTATCAACTACAAAATAATATATGTCCAGTTTACCATATGTTTTCTATTTAATGACGTAAAAATAAGTTATATTGTTAAATTAATATATTCAAAGCATAACTTTATCAAATATTTGTTGTCTCTTCAACATCAGTTGAGTATGCATTTGATAAAACACATATAAATGAGGATTTAAGAAAGATCAAACGAAAGCAACTTCTGCAAACTTGGTCGCTAATCGATAATCAAACTGAGCAGTATGACCGACATACATATAGTACTGTTAACACTAACATCTAATGATATATATATATATATTCTTGCTACAATACCATTACTGACAGGTTTCCGTCATTTTTTCCTCATATTTCCTAATAATAACTGTTTTTATCACTGTAATGATACGGTCTCAAAGCTGTAATGATAAGGTCTCAAAGCTGTAATGATTAGGTCACAAAGCTGTAATGATTAGGTCTCAAAGCTATAGAGAGTTGGCCTCAAAGCTGTAATGATAAGGTCACAAAGCTGTAATGATTAGGCCTCAAAGCTGTAATGATAAGGTCACAAAGCTGTAATGATTAGGTCTCAAAGCTGTAATGATTAGGCCTCAAAGCTGTAATGATAAGGTTTCAAAGCTGTAATGATTAGGTCACAAAGCTATAGAGAGTTGGCCTCAAAGCTGTAATGATAAGGTCACAAAGCTGTAATGATTAGGTCTCAAAGCTGTAATGATAAGGTCACAAAGCTGTAATGATTAGGTCTCAAAGCTGTAATGATTAGGCCTCAAAGCTGTAATGATAAGGTCACAAAGCTGTAATGATTAGGTCTCAAAGCTGTAATGATAAGGTCACAAAGCTGTAATGATTAGTTCTCAAAGCTATAGAGAGTTGGCCTCAAAGCTGTAATGATAAGGTCACAAAGCTGTAATGATTAGGTCACAAAGCTGTAATGATAAGGTCACAAAGCTGTAATGATTAGGTCTTAAAGCTGTAATGATTAGGTCACAAAGCTGTAATGATAAGGTCTCAAAGCTGTAATGATTAGGTCACAAAGCTGTAATGATAAGGTCACAAAGCTGTAATGATTAGGCCTCAAAGCTGTAATGATGAGGTCACAAAGCTGTAATGATTAGGTCTCAAAGCTGTAATGATTAGGAGCTATAGAGAGTTGGCCTCAAAGCTGTAATGATAAGGTCTCACAGCTGTAATGATTAGGCCTCAAAGCTGTAATGATTAGGTCACAAAGCTATAGAGAGTTGGCCTCAAAGCTGTAATGATAAGGTCACAAAGCTGTAATGATTAGGTCTCAAAGCTGTAATGATAAGGTCACAAAGCTGTAATGATTAGGTCTCAAAGCTGTAATGATTAGGCCTCAAAGCTGTAATGATAAGGTCACAAAGCTGTAATGATTAGGTCTCAAAGCTGTAATGATAAGGTCACAAAGCTGTAATGATTAGGTCTCAAAGCTATAGAGAGTTGGCCTCAAAGCTGTAATGATAAGGTCACAAAGCTGTAATGATTAGGTCACAAAGCTGTAATGATAAGGTCACAAAGCTGTAATGATTAGGTCAAAGCTTCACAAAGCTGTAATGATTAGGTCACAAAGCTGTAATGAGAAGGTCTCAAAGCTGTAATGATTAGGTCACAAAGCTGTAATGATAAGGTCACAAAGCTGTAATGATTAGGCCTCAAAGCTGTAATGATGAGGTCACAAAGCTGTAATGATTAGGTCTCAAAGCTGTAATGATTAGGTCACAAAGCTGTAATGATTAGGCCTCAAAGCTGTAATGATTAGGTCACAAAGCTATAGAGAGTTGGCCTCAAAGCTGTAATGATAAGGTCTCACAGCTGTAATGATTAGGTCTCAAAGCTGTAATGATTAGGTCTCAAAGCTATAGAGAGTTGGCCTCAAAGCTGTAATGATAAGGTCTCACAGCTGTAATGATTAGGCCTCAAAGCTGTAATGATAAGGTCTCAAAGCTGTAATGATTAGGCCTCAAAGCTGTAATGATGAGGTCTCAAAGCTGTAATGATAAGGTCTCAAAGCTGTAATGATTAGGTCTCACAGCTGTAATGATTAGGTCTCACAGCTGTAATGATAAGGTCTTAAAGCTATAGAGAGTTGGCCTCAAAGCTGTAATGATTAGGTCTCAAAGCTGTAATGATTAGGTCTCAAAGCTATAGAGAGTTGGCCTCAAAGCTGTAATGATAAGGTCACAAAGCTGTAATGATAAGGTTTCAAAGCTGTAATGATTAGGTCACAAAGCTATAGAGAGTTGGCCTCAAAGCTGTAATGATAAGGTCACAAAGCTGTAATGATTAGGTCTCAAAGCTGTAATGATAAGGTCACAAAGCTGTAATGATTAGGTCTCAAAGCTGTAATGATTAGGCCTCAAAGCTGTAATGATAAGGTCACAAAGCTGTAATGATTAGGTCTCAAAGCTGTAATGATAAGGTCACAAAGCTGTAATGATTAGGTCACAAAGCTGTAATGATAAGGTCACAAAGCTGTAATGATTAGGTCTTAAAGCTGTAATGATTAGGTCACAAAGCTGTAATGATAAGGTCTCAAAGCTGTAATGATTAGGTCACAAAGCTGTAATGATTAGGCCTCAAAGCTGTAATGATGAGGTCACAAAGCTGTAATGATTAGGTCTCAAAGCTGTACAAAGCTGTAATGATTAGGTCACAAAGCTGTAATGATAAGGTCACAAAGCTGTAATGATTAGGTCACAAAGCTGTCACAAAGCTGTAATGATTAGGTCTCAAAGCTGTAATGATTAGGTCACAAAGCTGTAATGATAAGTCTAAAAAAGCTGTAGATGAAGGTCTCAAAGCTGTAATGATTAGGCCTCAAAGCTGTAATGATTAGGTCACAAAGCTGTAATGATTAGGCCTCAAAGCTGTAATGATGAGGTCACAAAGCTGTAATGATTAGGTCTCAAAGCTGTAACGATTAGGTCACAAAGCTGTAATGATAAGGTCACAAAGCTGTAATGATTAGGCCTCAAAGCTGTAATGATTAGGTCACAAAGCTGTAATGATTAGGCCTCAAAGCTGTAATGATAAGGTCTCAAAGCTGTAATGATTAGGTCACAAAGCTGTAATGATTAGGTCACAAAGCTGTAATGATAAGGTCACAAAGCTGTAATGATTAGGCCTCAAAGCTGTAATGATTAGGTCTCAAAGCTGTAATGATTAGGTCTCAAAGCTATAGAGAGTTGGCCTCAAAGCTGTAATGATAAGGTCTCACAGCTGTAATGATTAGGCCTCAAAGCTGTAATGATAAGGTCTCACAGCTGTAATGATTAGGCCTCAAAGCTGTAATGATTAGGTCTCAAAGCTTTAGAGAGTTGGCCTCAAAGCTGTAATGATAAGGTCTCACAGCTGTAATGATTAGGCCTCAAAGCTGTAATGATTAGGTCTCAAGGCTTTAGAGAGTTGGCCTCAAAGCTGTAATGATTAGGTCACAAAGCTGTAATGATTAGGTCACAAAGCTGTAATGATAAGGTCACAAAGCTGTAATGATTAGGTCTTAAAGCTGTAATGATTAGGTCACAAAGCTGTAATGATAAGGTCTCAAAGCTGTAATGATTAGGTCACAAAGCTGTAATGATTAGGCCTCAAAGCTGTAATGATGAGGTCACAAAGCTGTAACGATTAGGTCACAAAGCTGTAATGATAAGGTCACAAAGCTGTAATGATTAGGTCTCAAAGCTGTAATGATTAGGCCTCAAAGCTGTAATGATTAGGTCACAAAGCTGTAATGATTAGGCCTCAAAGCTGTAATGATTAGGTCTCAAAGCTGTAATGATGAGGTCACAAAGCTGTAATGATTAGGTCTCAAAGCTGTAATGATTAGGTCACAAAGCTGTAATGATAAGGTCACAAAGCTGTAATGATTAGGTCTCAAAGCTGTAATGATTAGGCCTCAAAGCTGTAATGATTAGGTCACAAAGCTGTAATGATTAGGCCTCAAAGCTGTAATGATAAGGTCTCAAAGCTGTAATGATTAGGCCTCAAAGCTGTAATGATTAGGTCACAAAGCTGTAATGATTAGGTCACAAAGCTGTAATGATTAGGTCACAAAGCTGTAATGATAAGGTCACAAAGCTGTAATGATTAGGCCTCAAAGCTGTAATGATTAGGTCTCAAAGCTGTAATGATTAGGTC